TGTGTGTGTGTGTGTGTGTGTGTGTGTGTGTGGGAGTGTGTGCAGTCGATCACTCTCTCTCTCTCTCGCTCTCTCTACCCCCCTTCTCATGGCCCGATTGATCGATCAAACCTGGTAGTTGGTGCTGCAAGACGTGTCCCATCTCTCTCTCTCTCTCTCTCTCTCTCTCTCTCTCTCTCTCTCTCTGGTGTGTTTGTGTATGTGTGTGTGTCGTTATGTTCGCTATACACAACTCCATAAAAAAAACACAATTAAGCCAGACTGTTTCGTCGGACTTCCACCGTCTCATCAGGAGGTTGAACCCCGACAATCTGCCCGGGATGAATTTGGCTGATGGATAAGGGTTCACCATGTCTCGTGTGTGTGTGTGCCAGACACATGTGAAGTGCCAGCCGAGCGTGGTAGTGTAGGGTCGAGCAGTAAAGTCGAAGTCGAGCGCAGCAGTCCAGAGTGAAGTAGTAAGGTCGAAGTCGAGTGTAGAGTAACGTAGGGGTCGAAGAGTAGTGTACGGGTCGATCTTTCCCACGCCGTGGGATTTGCCCGTGCCGCCACAAAGTCGAAGTCGAGTGTAGAGTAGCGTAGGGGTCGAGAGTAGCGTAGGGGTCGATCTTTCCCACGCCGTGGAAATTGCCCGTGCCGCCACAAAAACGTGCGTGCCGCCACCAAAAAGTAGTTGCACGGCACTTTGCGGCGTGTTTATCTGAGCCCACGCCACTTGACTCCCAGTAGTACCCCACGGCACTCCACGGAGCGTCTATCTGAGCCATCGGTCCGGACCGACGGCGTGGATCTCGGCGCTGTCCTAAGATCTTAAGACCGCATCTATCCAGGCCGTCGGTCTGGTAGGACCCTACGGCCCAGATGGCAGATTTGTTACATGGTTCGGTCGATCTGGGCCATGGGCCGGCAGGACCGACGACGGCCCAGATTTCAGATTTGTCACGTTAGCGATTTTAATAATGTAGGGACAAGGTCAGACATTCACACATGCTGAATGAGTACCCAGGTACAGAACTTCGCGATTCATTTTCTCGCCTGCCAACTGAGTTCGTAGCTGCCGGACGCGGTTCAATGTAGCGAGGTTTATGACTGAGCTTCGAAAACTGAGGCAAAATTCATGCTACTTCAATAGAATTATAGCTTAAGTTGGGCCTGATTGCTCTTGTATAATCACCCATTGCCCAACAGATTGGCCTCATAACTCTGAACAATGACTGAGGCAAAATTCATGCTAGTTCAATAGATTTATAGCTTAAATTGGGCGGGCCAAGCAGTGTAGCTCAATTGGTTGAGCACGTAAGTGGTACACAGGAGGTCGTGGGTTCAATTCCTCACATCATTCATTCGATTCCCGATAACCCTGTGTGGCATTCATTCCGAATCATTCGATTCCCCACAACCCCGTGTGGTCACCGGCTGCGAAAGTCGGCTTCTCCCTCCTGGCTGGTTGGGGAAGTTGCCTGCCTTTCCAGCATACGCAAGGTGTTCGAAGTGGGTGCTGGTCCCCTGCACAGAGGAGAGTTAGGTAGGTGTGGACCCATAACCTTACAGTGGCTTAGCCCTGGTTGGTACATTTAAAGTTAGCTTACCTGGACGGACGTCCAGGACCCCCCCGGGTTGTCCGAGTCATCTGGTCAAACAACTCCAGGAAACGTCCACCCAGGACGATTCGTCCGCCCCTGGTAAAAAATTGGGGGGCCCTAATTTTCCGCAGTTTCGGGGCTTGTGGTGTTACCTGGCTCAGGAACCAATTTTCTTAAGGTCGGTAGGGCCTCAAAAACTTGGGGAAAAAAAGCCCCAATCTGAGCCGTCGGAGCTTGAAGATCAATGGCCCGGATTGGGCCTTTTTGAATTTCGAAACTTGCAGCCGGAGGGCCCACACCTTACGTGCCATTTCGGTGAGGACATTCAGTAGTTGGACATTGCCGAACGTCCATGCCAACGGCAGCAGCCACAACCACACGCCGCCATCGTGACCACCGCCAGGTACGTGACTCCTGTCCTCCATCTTCCTCCATCACCCCCCCCTCCCTCGTCCTCCTTACCCTCTCCCTCCTCCTCCTCCTCTTCCTCCTCCTTTCTTCTACCTGCTCCTTCCTCTCCATCGCTTCTTCCTCCTCCTCTTCTTCTTCATCCTTCTCTTCTTCCTCCTCTTCTTCTTCATCCTCCTCTTCTTCCTCCTCTTCTTCTTCATCCTCCTCTTCTTCCTCCTGCTCTTCTTTTGTTTTGTGTCCTCCTCCTTCTCGTTCTCCGCCTTCAGCTCCTCGTCCTTTTCTTCTACTCCTCGTATTCCCTGTCGTCGTCCTCCTCTACCTCCTCCTCCTCCTCTTCTTCTTCTTCGTCCAAGTCCTCTTTCCGTCTTCTTCCTCCTCGTCATCCACTTCTTCTTCCTCCTCGCCCTCCTCCTCCTCTTCTACTCCTCTTCCTTGTCTTCTTCCTCCTCCCCCTCTTCTCCTCCTCATCTTTATCTTCTTCTTCCTTCACCGCCTACTTAGTTCTTCTTCCTCCTCTTCCTCTTCCACCTCTTCTATCTCGTTGTCCCCTTCATCCTTCTCTTCTTCTTCTTCTTCCTCGTCCTCCTCCTGCTCTTCTTCTTCCTCCTCCTGCTCTTGTTCTTCTTCCTCGTGTCGCTCTCGCCATCCCCAGCGCTCCACCCATTGCCTCTGCCTCCATCTCTGCTCCTCCGTGTCCTCAAGAGCCTTCTCTTGGCCGTCATCTTCCTCCTCCCACTCCTCCTGCATCGCCACTGTCTAGTCCTCGTCGTCCACGTTCTCCATCTCCTCCTCCTCGTTCTCCTCTCCCGCAGCAACCCCACCTACCTCTCGTCCTCCGTTGTTACTTCTCATCTTGCACCCCCAGCACCCCCCGTCCATTTTTTTTTTTCAGTAGTCAGTCGGTCAATCAATCAATCAATTCAAGATCGATTAATCAATCAGTGAATCAATTCAAGATCGATTAATCAATCAGTCAATCAAGATCGATTAATCAATCAGTCAATCAATTCAAGATCGATTAATCAATCATTCAATCAGTCAATCAATTGAAGATCGATTAATCAATCAGTCAATCGATTCAAGATCTTGAATTGATTGACTGATTGATTGATTTTGATTGGATCTTGAAACGATTGATTGATTGATTGACTGATTGACTGATTGATTGATTGATTGATTGATTGATTGATTGATTGATTGAAAAAAAAAGAAAAAAAAAGAAAGGGAGGGGTGGGGGAGAAGTGGGAGATGGCCCTTAGGTTCCCTGCGCCGCCATCCCGTTTGGCATTCCTGTTGTTGTCCTCCTCCTTGCCCTCCTCCTCCTCGCCGTCCACGTTCTCCGCCGCCGCCGCCTCCTCCTCCGGTCAATCAGTCATGTTGTCATGCAGCCAGTTAGTCAGGTAGACAGTCAGTCAAGCAGTCAGCCCATCGATTACAATGGACGACTTTGTGTGTGTGCGTCTCTGAACAATGGTGGTCCATATATATTTCTGTCATTTTCCCTTTCCTTTAGCTTCGTATGTAGAGGAACCTTTCTGTTCTGAAGGGTGTCGATCTGGCTCCTTCCTGATAGCAAGTGAGAGTTTAATGCAATAGCAAACTCACTCTGCATGGAAATGTTTTTTTTGTTGATAACTTCTCAAAAGTTCCGATCAATCGTCAATATTATTATTAAGATCTTTGCAAGCCATCACACAAACAAAGTCTTCCCTGTGCCTGGTCTCCCTTCTCCCCCTCTCCCTTCCCCCCCCTTCCAAGTCCCCCTTGCATGCACCTCTGCCGAACTTGCCTTTCTTATGACACCGAAGGCCACCAGAGCCTGGAGATATTTCTCAAGGCAGTTCTTCAAAAGTGGAGGCTTGCTTCCACTCTCAACAAGATCTTCTTCAGTTTCCCCCGCATCTTCTGTTGCTCCAGCTCTGCCGCTTCTACCTGAGAAGATGAGATAAAAGGATTACCATTTTGTTCCTAGGCATGTGGGAGTGCACACAGAACAACATGCAGACAGACATGCACGGAGTGCCTCGGATTTTTGGATGTTTGGCACTCAGCACGAAAACCTGAGAAAGAAAAACTTGCAGGTCACAAGGCATAGGTAGATAACGTAGGGGCACATACACACATCTTGTGTAGACAGAAAAATAGGATGATTGCAGCAGCCCTAATGTTTGACATGATGCAGCACTATGCTTGGAACGCTCAGCAGCAAGGCATGTTACACAACGAACCTCGTCGGTTGAATTCAGAAAGCAAATCTGCAACTTGTATGCCCTCTTCACCGGCATGCTTGATAATACGGAAGATACTCTTCATGATGCGTTCATCGAGTAACTCCTGGTCTTCATCCTCGTCACCGTCATTTCCACACGCAGCCTCCGGTTCACTACTGGCTTTACAGCATACTTGAATACAGAATGCAAGGTCACCACCAACAGCCCCTCCACTGCTTCCAGGAACCCGCATCACGGCCCCTTCACCCATCCTGGCTTGCCGATGTACGGTCCCATTGCTCCCATTATCGCTGGAAGTTCTCCGCTCTCTTGACTCGACCGTACGACCGTGATCTACTACATCTGACCCCGCTATCCTTGCTTCATCTTCTGAGTTCTTATCTGGCACCGTCAGCACTCCTGCACCCTGACATTGATTAGCTGCTGCTTCTCCGAGGTGTACATTACCGGATGCCTTCCACACTCTATTGGCGCAGACATTTTCTCCTGTTTCCACTCTCCCTGTAATCATCTCTCCATCTCTAAGGTGTGCGGCAGCATCATTCTGGATCATGCTTCCTTCTCCCTCACCCTCTCTGCTCTTGTCAGCTTCCTTAAGTTTTGAATAGACATCCATGGAAACAGGCATTGGCAAACATACGGGACGGTAATGAACTACCAATCGTGGAAAGCCCCTGATCCGACGGCCGTTGAGCCATCCAATGTCAAGCTCATCCTTGAACTTGCGTGGCTTTGCCCTCTTCCCAACAACCTCCTCTCCAATCTCGCCAAGCGACCCATCACCCGGAAACACCGGTGCAATCTCAATTTGCCCAGCCTCAGCCAATGCTAATGTGTACAAAGCATCACCACAGGAGGGGTCACCTGGGAGAGGGTGCCAATCAGCAGTCTGTTTGGCGGATGAAAGCACGTTTCCAATCTGCTTTCTTAACAGCCTGACCTCCTGGGCTGTATTCGCCGGAAATGGAGACCACAAGCACCCTTCTGAGAACTTCGCCGAGACTTGGAAAGGTCGTCCATTCTTCCCAGTAACCTGCCCAAGGCATGTATCATTCATTATTAGAACATCCTCTCATCCGCAGACCATTTGGCCAAGAGAACTGATCCTCCTTCCACTGACGGGATACGGATTAACACTGCAAGTCTGTAACAGTATTAATGCCAATTGCTACCCAGCACATGTGGCTGAATGGTACACACATATGTTGCCATTAACAAAAAAAGGTCAGGAGTTTGAATCCAGATCCTTTGAAAAGATGGCCGATAACTGATAGATAATGATTCCCATGCATTCATTCATGGGAAAACAATGCCATAACTGCAAACATGAAGTAATGTCGTGTGCTTCCTGCAGCAATGTGTAGATAACAAACATGTTGCCTAGCCAACGCCTTTGCTCACTGAGAAACAGGACACACATGATTGCGGCAAAGTAAGGCATCAAGATGGTCACGAATCAACGCTACAACTCCACTGCACGACCTACAAAGTTTTCTCTTCCAAGAGTCAGTGTCAGAGAAACCCGAGAAGAGGGTTGCAAAACAACTACGAACAGTTGCTCACACAGAGACAATGTGCTCCTGACAGGAATGCTGACCTGCATACGATTCTGATTACAGGAAGTAGTACTGAGTTCGATCTTTGTTTTCCTGGCACTGACAGCTGAACTGAGCCAAAGCTTCCCGGACACAAGGAGCCAAGCAGCTAAAAATAGCCGATAACTGGTCAGTCAGGACAAGTGTCGGTCTATTTCTTCCTCTAGGGAATGGGTCTTCCATGTTAAGGCGCCAGGATGATACATCTTAGGTTTACCCCTGCACCAATCCTACCCCCATTTCAGAAAACAAGACTGAGACAGAGTGTTGGACTCTTTGCTCCCACAGGTGCAGACGAGGAGAGTAAGAACTCATCACCACTATTCCTTGGAGAATGGAGGAGTGACTAACGCTTTCTCCATAGGATCGTGCGCTGCTGGAGAGGGGTATTACTTCTGTTTCAAACGGTGTAGAATAATGCAACTGAGGTGTGAAGCAGACGGTAGACGAGTTTGCGGATGATGAGAGAGTTCGCTCACCTAGTGCAGCTTGCTGTAGTTGCCCTTATGGCTTTTCTTGCATGATGCCTTCCTGGTGTTATGTGTCCCCAGCACATCATTCAGTGCAGGAACTGGACTATAGGGATGGACAGGTGTCGGGAATGACCAAAAACGTCAGCCAGAAATGTGACATGCAATAAGGGTGTGTTTTGAGAAGCGGGGTGGTTGGCTCTTAACTAGAAGTATCACGAGCCGGTGATTCCGGGCGGATTTACACTTTCGATTGGAGTTGTTTTCTTTTGTATATATGTATGGTGTGCAGCTTCACTCTCACTCAGTTACGCATGTTTATTGTATCTACGTGCATTGAAGTGTACGGAAAATGAGCGGTATCATCCGGCATGTGAATTTCCCTTGCCAGTGAATCCTCAGTTTACGACCAAGAAGTGAAGGCAGTCAACTCGTATCCGTAGGAAAGGGAATTGTTATCAAATCCATCGGTGAAAACTTAAAAGTATTCGAGTGATGGCCTCGTGGAAAAGGTTCCCTTGTATAGATGCGAGTTCAGACCGACTCAGAGAAGACCAGACAAGGGAAGAGAGGCGAGCGATGAGATGAGTGATGCGAAGGGGGAAGAAAAGGGACAGGATAGTGACAAGGAGATGAGTGGTGAATGTCCATCTTTTGTTTTCTGGAAGTCCAGGTCGTAGTAGAGGTTGGATGTGAGGCCCAGGAAGGTGCTTGTAGTACTCAGCCATTTGCAAGGTCGGATGGGTTGTGAAGACCCCAAGGAACAGTCCCCTCAAGGGGGCACCATTCCCCGCTTCTATTCTGTCCAAAAGACATCATATTGCAAGTTGAGCATCACAGCAGGGCATCCTAGACCTTTCCAAGACTAGACCTACACCTACCCGTACCTTACTTTAGGGACACCCCGAAGTCTTGAGGACGACCCGAACACAGGCGTGGTCCATGTACCATGTGGCCATTCCCCCCCCATGTCACTCTATGGGCAGCTAACCACCCTTCTACTTAAATGCGACCACCCAACCCTTCCTTTGTAATACTCTGATGACACCCCTTACCCAGAGACCACACTAGGATCCACGCCCCGATCGAACTTCTGAATGGGAATTCCCACAGACATCATCCCACATGAAGGTCGGCCCTCGGGCATCATGAGATATTTATGTGAAGTCCGCCCTTAGGAATCGCATGCGCGTAACACCCTTCTCCTAGCACTACTCACTTGTTGCTGGTCCATACTTTCATAGGTTACTGAAAAGGATCTTTGGGGTCCATCAATGCCCTCTCAAGGTGCACACAGCAACAGATTACCAGGTCATAAACAGCAAGATGGGGTTGAGTTTCAAACCAGTCGGTTAGAAGGTTTACAGTTGCAGGCTACGCCCATGTGTCTAGGGGTGGGAGGATATGAAGCAGTGTTACAGCCCATGATTATGGACCATATACTTCTCAGGCATAATGGTAAGAGGCGCATGTTGTCTAATTCTGAAATTCATATATTTATTGACTTGCCAATAGAAAAGGAACCGGACTGTTGCTGCATGAAAAGAGCTGTAGCCTTGAGGCTGGGTTTTCACCAGGAAAACAGGGTTGCACAGGCCCGACGATCGGCGCCCCTTGATTGGTCAGCTGCCAACCAGCCGACCGATTGGCTGGTCGGCACCTACCGGCCAGCAGTCAGCGGCACCCCATAAAATAAAAGTAAATAAATAAATATACATATATGTGACGATATATTAATATAATATTATATGTATAGATAAATTTTCGGAAGTCCATAACCCCCAGTAACCCCACCATCACCCCATGCCCCCCCCCCAACAACACCATACACCCCTCAACACCCCTAAAACCCCCCCCCCCCCCCCCCCCCCCCCCCCCCCCCCTCTCCCTTTTTACCACCCCCATACCTCCCCCCCACTTTACCATCCCCATACCTCCCCATACCCCTCCTATACCCCTCCCATAACCTCCCCGTACACCCCCCGGTCCCCAAAAGTTTCTCAGCAGATTTGGGCTGTACTCAGCAAGCGCAGTACAGCCCCTAGTCAGATTAAATAAAAAATCAGTGGATGGCTGTTTACTGACTGGCCAGCAGACCGCCGACTTGTCGGCCCTACTGGTAGGCCGCAAAATGGTCGGCGGTCGCGGTAGGCAGTTGGCGGGTATGCAACCCTGCAGGAAAAATGAAAACTTTACTCACCCTGTCGAGTCTGTCTACTCTATACAGCAATAGACAAGACAGGATGCCCAGTGTTGATTCCCTTAACAAGTTTACATGTTGTCAGAAGAACCACCCTGACATGATTGTTCTCCGGAAAATATTTCGAGCTTCTGATTCAATTCATCACCAGTTATATCGATATATTTCATCAAACAGAACTGCCAGATAAACCGTCGGCAGAGAGGGAGAAGAGGACAACAAACAAGGGGCTGTGACAAACTGTTTCGTCGGAGTTTCACCGACTCATCAGGAGGCTGAACCCTCAACAGTCTGCAGAATCCCCTAACTGATTACACTGTAAGTGATAATCCACCTTAACCCTGGTCGCGGTTAAGCATAAACGACTGCCCAACAACTGATACCCTGAGGTGGGCACCAACCACTGCCCTCAAGGTACCTGTGACGAAAATCAGAGCAGACTATCACTCACCCACACGATGGAAAACTCTACAGACTGTCGGTTCACACCCCATCACAAGCCAGCAAAACACCCACGAAACAAAGAAAGGTCTATCACAGCCAAAAACTACACTCCAGACACGCCGCTGGCACAAGTGTGTGAAAGACAGTGTCGAATCCATGGCCACAGAATGTAGGCAAATCCAGCTAATCAACAACAAGCCACAGAAAAGAGAGCTTCGTGCAAACTTGTTCGTGCTGAACTGCATGGAAGTGAGCAAAGGCATTCCCCATCAAGAAGAAAGAAGCAGGAATAAGGGTTCGTGCAAGTGTTTAAACACACCCAGGGACCCATAACAGATGAGGAGGAGGAGACAAGGGACAAGAACTTCATTGGATGGGCAGAGGTCTTAAAAGGTACACTGGCCATGACTTATGTACATGGAAACAGGGATAGATGTTAATACCAATGCAAATGACTAGGTTCATAACAAAGGTAGAAACAGAATTGCAACTGGAGGGATCCCATAGCTTGACCGAGAAGACAAAGTAACACCAGGTGGCATACAGAAGGAGGGAGGGAAGGAGGAGGGAGGGAGGCAGGCATTCTTCTGGCTACTACTAAACCAAACCGTGATTCTTTTTACGCACCACGTAGCCCCAGCTTCGCAAAAGCTTGAATGCTGATGCAACCTCAGCCTCCTTGTACCTCCGCAATACCGTGGCCATGAGATCAGGGACCCAGCCCTCCATGCGGACTAACAAAATCATCTTGATGAGCTCGAGAGCATTTGCAACTGCAAGGGATCGGCGTGCTTCCTCCAGCTGTCGATGATCACCCTCCGTATTGTAGTATCTCAAGAATGGGTCACTCTTCAGGCTCCTTGGTTTTCTGGATATGATTGTTCGTCCACCAGATTTATCGGCAGCATCAGCATTGTCAGTTGTACTGTCAGGATAAGTGAGAGACAGCTGTTTTGCTCCTCCTAGCACACTTCCAGGTGCCCCTCTCTCACCGTCATCTGAAGCTGCTCCAATTCGTCCTCCATCTGTAAGCATACTTTCCTCCAACTCTGTCCCCACATGGTTGCTCAGGAGACTGCAGTTAACAGTTTGACCTTGCCCCTGAAATTCTGACGGATCCCATCCCCCTCCTCCCACATGATGTTGATGCCGAAGCCCACCCTTCGCCTCAGACCTCTTCATGCAGCCAGCTGATAAGCACAGACGGTCATCATTCTTGGCCCTCACAACCTCATCAACAGCCGCTGACAGAATTGGGTCATCTGGATCATCCCAATCCCACATCCCATTTCCTTGGGGGCGGTTTTCAACCTCTCCCCGGTTCCCTCCATTCACAGCTTCTGAACCTGTCCGCCTTTGTTGTTGCTCATCCCTGACCCTGTTGATTCCCTTGTCAAGGGCGAAAAGATCAGACACTGAGGGTGCAACCATGCCCGATACGTTAGCTTGCGTGAGTCCACTGCCTTCCCCCTCTGCAACAGTCTTCCTCCACTGAACCTTTCTCCTAGAAAGCTCCAAATTGCGTCGCTCGGTGAAGGTCGTAACCAAGCGAGCAAGGGCACACCTGAAACGTGGGTCGCGACGCAAAGTGGCCATACGCCGCTGACAGTTCTTTGGTAAAGCAGGAAGCCCAGGCATCGAATACCACTCCATCTTTGCGCGAGGGCCATAGACTGCCCTCCTTTTGGCATAGACAGTGACTAGAATGCGGTCCTCCTCATCCGTCCATCGGAACCGCTTGGCACGGAAGGGAACAAACACTGCCGGATCCGTGACGTAATCACCCCATGGCTCCTCCTCCCCATCTTCCTCACTCTCCTCATCATCAGGTTCAACATCGTCCTTTCCGCCTTTTTGAATTTGCTCTCCATGTGCTCCAAATTTACGTGCATCCCCGCCATCCGGTCTGCCAACCTCTAGTATTGGCACCACAGTGTCTCCCAAAACGGAAGCTGATGCTTGTCTGGCCTGCTTCTCTCTTCGGAAGGCCTTTGCATGGGATCTTTCCTCTGATAATAGTGCTGCAGCTGCTGCTTTTCGCTTTCTCTGCAGGTCTTCCATAGACTTGAGTCGTACGCTGCTGCCATCATCACTAGCAACTACTTTCCGGCTCCTACTCCTTGTCGGTCGTGCAGGCATTAGCATAATGCCTGCATCATCCAATGCCTGCAGCCGCACTCTGTTCTTTTCATATGACACCCGTAGAACCTGCAATATTGAAAGACACGCAATATTTTTCAACCTTTTTTTGGTGAAGAGTCTGACGACTGAACACAATGTTATAGAACTGACTACCAGAATAACATTCCCCAAATGTGTTTTCCGCAGCGCTTCTCCAAAACAGACACTGTGCTGCAATTTTGAAAAATGCAGAACTTTCATCCAATATCTCCACATGAGAGTACAGTTGGGCCACATTTGTCTGCACAGCAGTATGCTGGCTCCAGCATGCACATGCGCCTCTGTATCATACAGGGGACTTCTGCCAGACACCTTCGATCTGTTTCAGTGACATAGGACAACATGGGCTTGCCACGCGTTTTGCTGCTGACATCCCTAGCCTCCCTCAACCATGTCCCTCCCTTGGTCCCTTGGGTTTAAGAGAAGATCGACTGGGCCGTTTGTAAGTTCATACAGTGCAGACAGAAAAAGGAGGGTAGATTCCTTTCCTTTTGAGGAGGGGTAGGAAAACTCTGTCTTGGCAGCGTTGCTCAACTCTTTGATTGTGTGATCAAAGTCTATCGATGAATACCATTTGCTAAAAAAAGCCTAAAGCCTATGTAATCGACTTGCTAAACACTTTGTTATCTACCTGCCCAGGCCTCCCCTATAACAATGCACATAGTAACAACATCCATCAACCACGTGGCCAACAGCCAGGTATATTCTTTTCCCTGCCATCAATGCAATTAGAACGACACTCGCTGTCATCAGACCGAAAATCCAACCTCCATTCACCCCGGCACATAACATGTCATGGCCACAGAATAGGCCTAGCACCGAAGATGTCAGAGCCACAACATACTTGCCAACATGGCTACTGGGGGTAATTGTAACTTTAGGGGCGGTGGTGCACGCATCTTACTGCCCATCACATACACACAAAGAACTTGAGCGGTCCGAAGGATGGTCTGAGTTGGGCTGACCTGTTCAAGAGTTAGACCAAGCTGCTCTGCAATCTCGGCGCACTCATCTGCACTTGTCCTCCTTGTTCCCAGACGCCTCAGAAGCTCAAGACGCTGCTCAATTGTCATCACACGGACGCTTGTCCATGTACGCATTGCATACACCTCCGGTGTGACTGTGCCAGGGAAAGCCCGACTAGCAGTAATAGGATCCGCTCTGGAGTAGAAATACTCTAATAGCCGCCAATAGCTGGTCAACCCTTCTCTTTCCCTCAAGTCAAACTCGTGCCGGCTCCTAGGGAGTGTGGCATCCTCTGCAGGTTCATAGTCCATTGATTCATAGACTGGGGGCACTGGTGGAGCAGGCTCTTCAATGACCACATGTTGTTCAAGGACATACATAAGGGACGCTTCAGGAAGCGATGATGTTATTCGAATTGCAAAATTCAATTTCTTTTTCCGCCACCCCGCCTCAAGCTGCTTCCTCTGTTGTTCCTGCATCTCTTCAATCTCTTGCCAGTAGCTTGTGTCATCAATCCGTGTAGATGCAAGCCGGAGAAGCTGAAAGCAGAGCACCACCAAAAGTCATCCTGAGACTTTGCTATATTCTCACCCATATTCAATTTCACAAATATGAGTGGATTCAACCCAACTTGCAAAGAATCTACATTCGATATGCATTCAACTTCAAGCGATGTGAAACCATCCACTCTAATAAACGACAACTCATAGTACTCCCACACGAGTTTCACTGTAAGCAAACAGTCTTCAGGTCTGTCAAAGATCCGTGAGAGGCATGTGGATGTTTGTGGCGGCAAGTAAGAGATTGGTATATTCTGAGCTTGGAACACCCACAGCACAGGAAGATGCTGAGGAGATGAGGGGATACAAAAAAAGGGCAGGGGACGTGGGAAAGGGAACAACAGGGATGAGGGGAGAGCTGTCAAAGGGTACCAACGAGGGGAAAATGGGCAGAGGGTACAGAAAGCGCAGAAGAAAAATGAGGGGCTCAGGGGCGCCTGTGCTGACGAAGGGCCGCTAGACCATATTTGGCCATCCATGGCCTCGCTCCGGCTACGTTGTTGATAACGACACTGGGTCAGACCAGGCGGGAAAAAAGGCGAGGTTGGCACCTCAACAAATTGGTAATGGCCCATGCAGTCCAGATTCTTCCAGGCCACAGCCCATCCGGAGCAGTCCGGACTCTGCCCTCCACGATTTTGGTAGGTCAGGGCAGCCAGGGACACGTTCTGGCTGCCTCCCTGCAGCTGGGAGGAGCGGTGAACGTAGCGCTAACCGGGGAGAGCAGGGCAGTGCTAACGTGTGGTGGATTTTTTTTATTTATTTTTTGGGTCCAGAACCCCTAATAAGCCCACCAACACCGCTGTGCAATGACTTGCTGATTTCTACTGCCGAGATTGACTGCGAGGCTGTACACTAACCAGTAGGGTTAGATTCGTAATTTTGTTTGGCTGAGGGCTAACCGAGGGACCTGCCTGTAGGGAAATTCGTGAGGGTCGTATCTGCAAATCTGTGAAAATATAGGCCCAGTACTAACCAGAATTCCTACAGCTACCCTAACTGCGTATAGCAGGCCCGGGCTACCCCTAGGACAGACAGGCCCTAAGCGGCCTATGCTGATAGAGTGTCCTATAGCCTATAGCCGGGTCCGGTAGAGGCCGAGAGGCCGAAACAGCAACGGTACCGGTCGGTCAGTCAGTCCGGTCTAGGTCTAGCGTAGTCTATAGGTAGGTTAGGCCCATCGGTTCAGGACTTTTGGCACTTCATTTCTCGCGAAGCAGCGTTGGAGAAGCCAAGCAAGTTGGTGGCGGTGTCTGTCTGCAGGCGGCATCCTGAGACTTCGCCGTTGACAGCAGCCATAGCCGGCCCAGCCTGAGTCTGCCATAGCTGGGGCATCCTCAGCGCATGTACCCCTGGGGGTATCCGCGTCTGGCCGGGCTATATCGAGGCTCTACACTGTTTACTCATGGGTGGTGGCAGCCATAGCTGCCTGTTCCTTCGTCAGAGTTGTCCATCGGCACTGAAGACGTCATCGCAGGACCTGTTCTTCATCAGGGTGGTAGGCGCTGGCCTCTGGGAGGCCATTCTGATGTAGCGCTACTAACTGGGTGTAGGATAGAGAGTGGGGTGTGAGTTTTGAGAGTGGCGAGATACTGGAACACAGACCTGAATTCAGATCCAGAAGATATATTGCTGGCCCGATCCTTGCTCATCCGAAATTCGTCGAGTGTCTCTGCTGAGATATAAGAGCCCTGCAGATTCTCTGCTGGGGGCCCTTCAGAAAAAAAGCTACAAGCAATGAGGAATACGGGCCCCTAATTTTTTTTGTCTCTGCCCTTAAAATCTTTATAAGGGAGGGGCACGTCTGGCTACCTCAGCCACCCCCAATACCCCTATACACCTCCTCAACACCTCCAAATCGCCCCCCAACACCCTCATTACCCCCCCCCAATACCCCATATAACCCCCCTATACCCCGCCCGACCCCCCCCCTACCTCCCCGCATCCCCAAAAGTTTCTCAGCGAATTTGAGATGTACTCAGCAAGCGCAGTACAGCCCCTAACTCAGATTTGAACAAAAATCAGTGGATGGCTGTTTTCTGACTGGTCGGCAGACCGCCGACTGGTAGGCTCTACTGGTCGGCTGCAAAATGGTCGGCGGTCGGCAGGCATGCATTTCTGGTCGCAGCGTACCTTTGTAATGTTATTGCAGATCTGCAAGCTGCCACTGTCGTTGCGTGGGTGCAAGATGCACAGAGGCAGAAGCACATAACTGATTTAATGGTGAAGCCTGCTTCCCAAGCTACACACTTCCCTTCTGCCACTCATCCCACATCTACTCTCTCCACAAATGCCATAGTTGCCGCTGAAACCCCTCGCCTGGATCTGCAGCAAATGCTGCACCAGACCCTTTGGCTGTTGAATCTACAGAAAGGGATGTGCACAAGAAGACACTGGCATAAGCACCCATCCAGTTCGGTGGTGAGCACTGGACGAGGGGAACTTGTATTTCAAACCTCCCAAGGCGCCGCAGGAGGATCACTCTATATTGCTGTCAACGTAGACGGAAACTAAATCCAATGCATGGCTACACTCTAGGGCTGCTAAAGATGGGTATAGCAAGGGGAACTATTCCAACGGATTCAGAAAACTCTTCACCAAACCATCATGAAAAAAGCAGCAGTGGGCGGACAAGTGCACGGCGCGAAAGGGCCGCAGGGCTGTCCAAGATCTGAGCATGAGCATCGGCAGGCTCTACGCGCTGTCTGTGCATAGGGCAGCTGCATATTTTGCTACTCCAGGCAGGTGTAACATCGCTAAGTTAGAAGCTATGCAGGCTTGAGAAGGGTAGTCATGAGGGAAGACCAGTTGCTGCAGTCAAAAACGAGGGAATGGGGGCAACATGGGGGTCGTCAGAACACCGTCAAGGAACACTATCACAGGGAAAACCAGCTTCCCCTACTCTCGTGAAGAAACTGTGGGAGTCTTTGGGACTTAATTCAGATCTCTGGAGTGACTTAATTCAGATCTCTGGAGTGATACGATGATGAGAGAGAGTGTCCAAAGTGGAGGGAGGTGGGGCACTTCAATCAGACCTCTGAGTGATAGGATGGTAAGAGAGTGTGTCTGAAGTGTGGGGAGGTGTGCCACATGAATAGATTCTTCATTCCCACCCCAAAAGAGAAGCGTTAGCAGAAGGTGCAGCCCTTTATATGAAATCTGACGCGGCCGAAAGTTAGCCAGCCGATAGGACTCATAGCACTAAGACTCCCTCCTCCTCTCAGATCACTGTGGGGGTGGCTGCTGACCTGAAGTGTGTCCCCCAGTCACAGTCTCCTGGTGAGACTGCATCCATCAATGGGCTCGAGGAAGAACTGAAAAATCTTATGTGCTCCTGGACAAAGAAGAAAGGAAAAAAAACTTAAAAAAAGTGAGTTGATCTATTAGCAGTGGAAATAAACAACGTAACGGCCGGAGCCCTGACAGAGATTCTAGCGGGAGTCAGATGACTAGGGAATATGCAGATAAGGTGCATCTGGGGATGAAGATGCAGGAGTTGAAGGTGCCAGTTGCCTGTAGGGACTGGCTAATAACTTGGATGGTACCATTACTCAGACAATAAGCGATGTTATCTACACTTTCTCATGTGAGGGAGAGAAAGTGAGACACACAACATCATTCTCTTAGCAGTTAATGATGGATGACTTGCGTTTCGAAGTTCCGATATGATTCTGTGTAGCATGGACTACGTAGAAGGCCCTATGCCAGTTTTAACTTGGGATTAAAAGACTATCAGACACAGGATTAGTGGACCCCCGTATCGACTACCTTACAAGTTCCTTGACCCTCTTATAACTTGGGATTAAAAGACTTAGACAAATTATTGCTTGAGGCAAATGACTCAAGTGCAAAAGGTATCATCAACCTTACAAGTTGAAACAGCTTGACTGTCTGCTGTTCTTCTACCAACTAGCAGAAACAGCATAAGAAAGACGGCAACTTAAAAAGGCAGGATCCAGTAGGAATCCTTAACGAGGTAGAGGAGGTCGTCAGAGAGTTGGACAACGTTTTAGAGTGAGCCGGAGGAGTTGGAAATAGGGAGACCCAACATGCTATAGAAACAGTTCCAGAGAGTAAGGTTCTGCAGGATAGTGTCTGTAGGTTGTCTCATGAAAATTTAAGTTCCATATGCAACTCAAAGAGCTTACAAAGAAGAGAGATGGATTACGCCTAGTACCTCTCCTTACAGAGCACCACTATAGCTCATACCCACGACGGAAGGCGAGTTGAGGATGTCCATTCGGGCCAAACAAAAGCAGAGCCCCTACCGCAGAAGATGACCTCATAGATAGCCTGCAGGGCTGTAAGTACTTCAACAAGATACATCTGAAGTCCACGTAGCATCAGATAAAACGCCTGACGACCAACACAAAACAGCATTCCGATCAGACACAAACTATGTGAGTTATTGGTGATGTCTTTCAAACTGTGTAATACACCAGGTACGCCCCAGCATGCCATGAGTATTTTAGACCACTTAGACAAGTCTGCAGTAGTCTATCTTGACGACATACTTGTTTTCAGTAAGAGTCTGGAGGATGTCAATCGCTTAAAACATATAGCTAGGCCTCTTCCACCAACATAAGAATGCTGCAACGTGTGAATTTGGATGCACTAGGATCTTGTACTTTGGGAAGGTTCGAGGCCAAGCACTTCTCCCTTAAATTTTGCAGACAAATTGGCTTCCTTTTAACTTTACTGCCTCTTCTCATGTGTATTGCGACATGCATAAGTTCCCTCCTACAGTCAGGCATGGGGGCTACCAAGAACCTCAAGAGGTGGGCCACGAACAAAGAAAACACAAGGGCAAGGAAATAGGACTGCAAAGCAAGCCTCTCATGTCATAGGCAGTAGAAATCTGAAAACACAATGCCTCTGGATCACAAGATTCAACAAGTAGCATGCAGTAGTGCACAGACACTCACCTTAAGCCGGGTCATAACGTTAAGAAGCTGAGAGATACGATTTCTTGCGTTTGTTACCAGGAGCTGTTCCCTCTCCTGCCAGCTGAGATCTCCCAAAAGCACCCGCTTTTTACATTTCTCCAGCAACCTATCAATTTTTTCCGCATTTCCTATAACTTGAAGAAACAGTTCAAGAGGCATTGCCATCAACACATCTTTCATACAGAATCCCCACTCGTCATCATCTGGGCTTAACTCCTTTTTCCCAGGGGGATCGAACCAATAGCTGCTCTGGATCATGGCCCCAAGTCCACGACGGGACCAGCGGGCCCAATCACTTCCCAAACCATAGGTGTCGTCTGGAGGAGTGCCTTCCCCTACTCCGCAAACCGCCGGGTTCATGACATTTATAGCAGCACTCACTTTCTCTCCAGAACTCGTCCCATTCGGACCTGCTTTCCTTCCCTTGTGTCCTTTCTTTTCTCTCACATACTCCCAGAGGAAGGTGTGGAGCATGCGCACGCGGATCATCTTCGCGGGGACATATCCATTCCTCTGCATAGTTGTATACATGTCTAGATTCTCATCTCCTGTATGTAAGGTCTCTTTTGGCTTTTCAACGAGCCGTGGGCCAGACATCCTTGTCACACCAGTAAGAACTGGGAGAGGACCCCCATATGCCTCCTTTGCAGCAGCAGCAACTGCTGCAGCATTCTTCTTTCCACATCCAGCTCTGTTACCAAGCTCGAGTTGTCGAATGCGTGCATGCATCTCTGCTAAGAGGCTGTCACTGACCTCAATTTCAGCGTCAACAACTACTGCTGTCATCCTCATTCTCCCACCATTCGTCACGCCAGGCATCCCGACAACAATGGTTCTAAGCTTCCCTTCGCTCTGCATGCGTGCCAAGAGGCGAAGGACAGTTCGCCGGTCAAGCATTCCATCCACTCGGCCTTCCACTTCTTGAATCCAGCGGTGAAGATCCCAGCGAATGATGAAGCGTTCCTCCTGCAATAACCCCAGCATTAAAAAAAAAAAAAAAAAAAACAGTTTTGAGTTTTCCTAAACAAGCAGCCCACCCAACAGACCAAGAGATGATCAATTCTCACCCACAGAATCCACACATACACGTGGATAGATGGTGTAAACCAAAATCAACTCATCCCAGCACAAACCATTGCAAGATGAAAGCTCAAACGGAGAGGATCAAAGCAGAAGCAAGTTGAACCGTCCCCCACCTATCAGAGGTGAGCATGAAAGCACCAGTGCTTCCTAAAGTAGTGCCCGTTAACAAGCCACGATTTTCGGAAATGTACAGCTCACTACAGGAGCGCCCAAATTCAGCCGACTAGAAACGTTTCTACTCTACTTTTTTTCCATGGGTCCCAAGTGCACTGCAGAGGGGCGGCTTTTATGTGTCACAAGTGACCTCCACACCTCGGTTTAAACTCCTGAACTCTCATTCAAAAGTCAAGCAAGGTTAACACAGAGAGAGGCAGGCAAATAAATGAATACGACGACCAAGCACATGGGAGCGACGGTGGCTTTTCCTCCATATCCAGCAAGAATAACAGCTCAAGTAGGTTTAGCACAGCTTAGTCTAACAGTGAACAGCTTCTGTCGACAGTGAAAGAATAATGAAAGACTCAAGCAGCCTGGCAGCCTCCACATCGAACGATTCTGGAGCCCAGAGACTCAAATATACGCAGTACAAGACCATTAGGAAGCCTCTATGTGCATTTGGCATTGCGACATCATATGCTAGATGACTGCTACCGGTAGTTAAATCACAATTTGCCCTCAAACCTGTTTGATTGAAATTTGCATTCAGATTTGGTATTTCGCCTTGGCTCTTGGCAGTAACAGCCCCATCATGGAGGGTGGCGGAAGGTCGCCCACTGCCCATACTACCATCCAACCTGCAGCAGCTGCAATTTTTACTTTGTTCCGAGCATGTTGCTTCCAGGACACTACTGGAATGAACTGCAATCCCCTTCTATAGTCGCGCAATCCTCAGTGGCCATCAGACGCAAAGGTGACAGATCCGCATACCTTGCTGCATATTTCTGCAAAGTTGTGCAAATTACTGGCATATCCTGACTGGTTTGACAGAGATGCAACTGGATTGGACAGTGACCATGGTGTTTCTTTTTATTGAGAGAAGAGGCACATTTGCTCCTCCTTTTTCACAAAGGCCCCCGAGTATGCCCACCACCTGGGTGACCTGGCCAGCTCCATGCATCATAAATCGATTCATAAGACTATGTCTAATAGATAATACATATAATCTAGAGGTACGTATGTTTCAGTCGTGATTGAGTTACGAATTGGCAAAACAAACACAACCAGTTTGAAAAGGCGCTTCAAGCACGGCATGACTTTTGGAAAGCCGCGTCAGGTTTCTTGCAGGCGAAGGGCAGTGGTGTGCGTACTGCTGTTTCATGTTTCTTTTCGCCTTTTTTAACTGCAGTCGTGTCCAAAATGCCATTTTTCGTGCTTTTTCAGGCTTTTTTAACCGAGCACCTTTACACTTTGGCTACAGAGCTTCAATTTCATAAACTGTACACACAGCATGCCCATACATGAAGCAACCGCTGGCATACCCTAGAATCCTGGACAGCTAAAGAAATTTGCCATCGTTTTCCACTGGTGGTATGAAACTTTAATTCCATTCATTGCAATGAATCCAATTAATCTACTCTACTTTTTGTGTGGGCACTCCATGTCCATGGACTTCATGTATGGGCTGCTGGTGTCAAAGGATAAAAACGAAATGCTCTTCATCATTGTCAATCAGTTTTCCTAGTTTATCAGGCTAATACTTATGCAGAAACAGCATTCTTCAGCAAAGGAAGTGGCTGAGTTATTCTGGGAACATTGGTGTTCAGAATTCAGGTTCCCTACCAGAGGAGATCATCAGGGACAGGGATTCCCACTTCACTAGTCAGATGTGGGGCAACCTGATGGAGTTTGCCAGTACAGAACGGACAGGGATTCCCACTTCAAGATGAGTTCTTCTAATCACCCCCAAACAGACGGACAGTCCGACTGCATGAGCCACACTATTCAGCAGGTGCTGCGCCACCCGATCAGGCCCAATCAGATTGACTGGTGAAAGGCCTTCCACGATTCAGACCCAAATTCGGATCTCAGGGTCAGATGCCCAGGACAACAAAGGCCGAGTCTGTCAAACTCAGAAAAGTCACAATCGGGTACCTCAGCAGTTTGGTCCAACAGGCACCCAGCAAACAGTCACATTCCACGAGTGAAAAGGTAAATTCACAAGTAGGAGTCATGTCTCAAAGACAGGAGTCACGATTCCTAATGAAAAATCATATCACATCCCACGAGCAAAGGCAGTATCACAGGCAAAAGTCGTGACCCACAGGCCGGAGTCACTTCCCACAGTCAAAAGTCATGTTCTCAAATGAAAAGTCATGACCCAAAGGCCCCAGCAGCAGCAGACCCATGGAAATTCGAGAAGGTTCCCAGCCTTGACATTCAGAAGCAGACAGGCCGTGAGGATGTGGTACCGGAACCAGTCAGGCCCAGGAAACAGAGGCTGGCACGAGTTGAAGTGCATCCAAGACTACAAAAGGACTGGCCAGCCTACCATTCAGGCAGATGCTCATTCGCACGAGAATGTGGAAGTGCTTGTGCAGTTGTGCACTAGTGTGGGAGCTGCGCTACGCCAGAGAGCAGCGCTGAGCAAGATGAGAGAGAGGAAGTAGATGCTGGCAGAGAAGAAGGCGGCCATAGCTGCGCCAGCACTAGGAGACAATATAGCGGTAGTTAGTAGAGGTTGAGCAGTGGGTGGTATTCAGAGTTGATCCTCATGTGTGTGTTAGTAAGTAGGGAGGGCGCATGTGAGAGAAGAGGAAGATTGTGAAGAGTGAAGACCAGAATCATCAAGTGAGAGAGAGAGAGTGAGCTATGGTGGATACATACCTGGAGAGTGTTGAACTTGGTGTTGGAGACAAGTGCTGATGAGCGCAGATGCTGAGACTCTTGATGATCGGATTGCAGCGGGGAAAACACTCAAGTAGCAGGTAGGCCGGTACCGCACCCTGAAGAGGTAGATGTGCGGGTACTGGAGGCCGAGCAGAAGAAGACAAAAGTGGCATTTTGGGAGGCCCAGTAGTTGTAGGCTAGGTCTAGGCGGGTACCAGTCCAACCAGTCTCAGTCTAGGGCATGTACGGGCAATATCAGAGTCCGCAATGATGATTCCCTCCGAAAGGGAGGAGGTACCGGTTGCTGGGAAGGCCGAGCGGCCTGGAAGTCACCACCCAAGAGGCAAGCAGGCCGCTATATCTCCAGGCCGGGCGAAGAGCCCAGCCTCATTGTCGGTGTGCAAGTTTGGCGACACACTGGTTGGAGCGCTGGCTGGAGCAGCGCTAGCAAGAGCAGTGCTGCTGGGGAAGGAGCAAGGACACGAAGGAGGAAGAAGGCCAGGAGGAAGGGGGAAGCGCCAGAGGTACTTACCTGGCTATGGTGGAGCCATCTTCATCACCCTGGTGGGCGCTGCAGCAGGAAGAACCCAGCTGGGGTAGAGCTACACCAAGAAGCTTTGAGGCAGAGTCAGGCATGGCAGCCTGAGCTAGAGCAGCCATAGCTGCTTTGGGTTGTCCTTTGGGCATCAGGACAAGGCCGGTAGTCTGCCATAGCCTCGGCCTATGAGAGTGAAGAGTGAGGGACGCGGCCATGGCTATGATGGACCTCAAGTGATACCTGCAGTAGAAGAGGAGCTCCGACATTGATTCTGGATCAGCCATTCAGCATTGTACTACTATTTCTTGTGTGAATAAGAGAGGAGAAGTAAAGGAGCAGGAGAGTGTTTGGGCGAAGAAGAAGAGCTTTGTCATTTGTCTATGCTGGTGTACATGTTCTTCTTCTTTCTTTCTTCTTCTTCTTCTTACCCTCTCTCTCCTCTCAAGTTCATTCATTTCTTTCTGCAATTGGACGGCGTCGAACTATCTGATGAATGTGTACTTCGAAATTCGCCAGGATCATAACACTAGTGCGAAGTTCAGTCCCACACGCCGATAACTACAGGTGACCTTACAGCTGCCCTCAAAACCACATTTGTAACGACAAGGATGCCGACTGCTGTCATTGACGATGCCTTCACGAGAATGCCCTATTCCCCTGATAGGTGAGTGAAAGGGTAGTCTGCCCCCTGGCAATCCCCTAATATCCCGTGTGTAATATAATGCGCACTGCACTAGGCTGGGGGCCAAGTATGTGGGATGCCATTCTAATAACACCAACCGAGCAGAACACAACCAAATCTGCAGCTGCTGCAGTTAAACCACTACTAGTACTTTTGCCCCTTCCCTTGCCAAGCCTGGAAACTCCCTGTGCGCCAAAAGAAAAAAAACAAAGCGGCGCGGGTGCAATGACTTGCTGATTTTGACTGCCGAGATCTGACTGCAAGGCTGTCAAGTAACAGCGGTAGGGTTAGATTCGTAATTTTGTTTGTGTCAGGGACTAACCGAGACTTCAGTGCTGAGGGAAATTCGTGAGGGACATATCTGCAATTTCTGGAAAATTACAGGCCCGCAGTTCCCTTAGACCGCACTGCGAATAGCAGGCCCGGGCTATCACTAGGATGGGAGGCCCTATGGCCTAGGCCCGTAGCATGAGCGCCTATAACAGGGTAGGTAGAGGCCCTAGAGGCCGAACTGAAACGGTACCGGTCGGTCCAGTCCGTGTCTAGGTCTAGGCTAGTCTATTAATAGAAGATCGTCATTACTGTGAAGACTTTTTGCAGTTTGATTTTTTTTCGCGTCACAGTGTTCTGAGCCAAGCAAGTACTGGAGAGATGATTGCCTACAGGCGGCATCCTGAGACCTTCGTCGTGGACGGCAGCCAAAGCCAGCCTTCTGGAGCTTGCCATAGCTGGGGTGTCCTCTGAGCATCCACCCCTGTGGGTGCTTGCGAGCGGCTGGGCTATTCTGAGGCTCTACATGGTGTTCGTGGGTGGACCACTGTCTCCGCATCTTCCTCT